CTATTTCCAGTTAAACCCCTTTGAGCTTTTTTGCGAAAGAAAACTTATTAATGGAAACATTTTTTGTGTGAAATAATTTCCATTTTTAAGAATTGAATCGGAAGAAATATGGAAAACTTTGGAATCCACAGAAAAAGCGGTTGCTGAACGTTTTATCGAAGCAATGACTAGTTCGGTTGCAGCCGCTGAAATTCCAAGTGATACGTCGCGTGAAGATTGTAATGACGCAAACATTTACAACTTCAGGAATAGAATAAATGCTAACGAATTATATGACTTTTATCTTGGAGTTAGTCTTATCTTCTTTTATCTATTTAGGTTTTAACTTGTCTTAATTTCTTTGCTTTTTTTTGACATTGTTATATATAATTTAGGATAATTTCTTCTAGTAAGAGCTACCTTTAATGATATTTTTTTTCAGAAATTTAGTCATTATATGCTGAATAGTAACTTAATTGAACGTCTGGAAGCACGGGCAAATGGAATTGCATCAGCTTTGAACGGGTATTCTAACAAGAGTTTTGATGGTGGCACCAGCTCTGCTGTTGTTCCTTTCCCCAACTCTTTCTACCGTATGTTTTTGAAATTCCGATTGTTTTTTTTTTTTTTTGCGTAGATTTCCAAATAAAAGAGCGCAAGTGCTCTCTTTAAGGTATTTTTTATATTGTTCGTTTCTCTGTTCTGGATAGTTTTGTTGATACTGTGTAGATGAAGGAATATATTTCCAGAAGATGGGGATGACAACGAAATCTTTCCTTCTACTCGTAAAAGTGCGAAAAAAAGAATTGGCAGTGGTTTGCTATCTGACAATATTAGGCGGCCGAAACTGTTTGGGGGTAGTTTGGATGAGTATGTTGAAGCAACGGGCGAAACAATACCTCTCATTATCACTTCAACTATACGGTGGGTAGTATTATATTTTCAGACCGTAATATTCTTTACTGTTCTCCCCATCTATCAGTGAACTCTCATCTGAATATTTTCAAATATTTATTCTTCAATCAAAATTAGTTGGTAGTTTTTTTACAGTGTATTGTCCCAATTTGCTCTGCATCATCAAGGAATATTCCGTATATCGGGCTCACAAATTGAAATTAATATATTCCGAGAAGCATTTGAAAAAGGTAATAGTACATTCATAAACGTTTAAACCATTACTTAGAATGTGAGTTGAAAATTTTTTCTCATCATTCTCATCTCTTCCGGCCATGTAGAAATTAAAGATACTGGTCTTATTGTTGCAGGAGAAGATCCATTGCGACATGTTGTTGATGCCACGGATGTTAATTCAATTGCGGGTGTTTTGAAACTTTATTTACGTGAACTTCGCGAATCCCTTTTTCCTATATTTCTTTTTGATCAGTTGACAGAATGTGCGAAATGTTCAAGCGCCGACGAATTCATCAAACAGGTTTTCTTTTTCATTCTGTGGTTGTGTCGCTCAGAAAAGTTCAGATGTTTTTGGTTCTGTTTAAAGCTTACTTTGGACCATATTTTTTCATTTTTTAATGGAAATAATGGTTTTGTCTAGACCACTACCACTTTTTGGTGGTACTAATAACATACCATCAACAAAATTTTTATACTGTTCAGGTTGCTCCACTTATCCAGAAATTGTCACAACCTACTCAGCTCGTATTACGATATCTTTTTGCATTCCTCAATCACCTTAGTGAATTTAGCGATGAAAATATGATGGATCCATATAATCTTGCCATCTGCTTCGGGCCTACACTTCTTCCTATTCCAGAAGGAAAAGATCAGGTTCTACAAATTACATTTCCGTTATACATTGTTAAACGTCCTTTGCGAAATTTGATTTCTACTTCTAACCGTGGCGTGTAACTGAGAAAAATCAGTACAACCTTTAGACATAATGGGGAGCTACAAAAAAGTGCAGAAGCTCCAACCTTTCGATTTCTCTCTTTATAATCTTCCTTTTTTTAATTTCGTTAGCGGTTTATGGGCTGTCCACTCAATGATAGCTTAGTTAATGATTGGAATTTAAATTTGTTAACATCGAATACCGCTTTCTGCAACAGGTCAGCTTCTATGCAGACCGCAATCTAGAACAGAAATCATATTTCTTCCCTTTTGTACCGGTAACTGGAATCGTTCTTCATCGTCAATTAATGTCGTTCGATTCCTCTCCCAAAGGATAATGCTTATTTGATGAAAATGACAGTTATCTGACGGTAGATTGATCTGGCATACCTGTTATCAGCATGCTGTTGAGTCCTCCTTATGCTAGCATTACACTAGATAACATCAGTGACCCATGCGATATTTGCTGTTACCCGGAAAACGTTTTTAATTTGGGAGTGGGAACTTTTCTTCGCTTATCTTTTTCGAGATGATCATATTTCAGGTCTTTTACCATAATTTTGTAAATGAACTTGTGAAAAATTTGATTGTTTATCACGAGCAAATTTTTTCCGCAGTGTTATCTGGTCCGCGGTATGAGAAATATCTTATTGAATCCGAGCAAGCACTCTTCATTGATGAGCAGTAAGTAATTGCTTTTCTGTTCGTTTGGATTCGAAAATTTGGTCGAAATTTTAGTTTTTGGTTTAAATGAGGGTCAGATGCGTTACTGTGTTTTGTTAAATGCATATAAATCAAACCTGAAGTAATATTATGTTTCTTTTTCTGAACTTTTATTTTTTGTAGAGAAGGTGTCATCAGTGGTGATGAAGAAACGGTAACAACACCGGTTTTTGACTATTCAAGCGAAAAATCGTTGACCGGACTTACAACATCTGCGATGGCTTTATCTTGGAATGCTGCAGATGCTGGTGTGGAAATGCTTCCGGCGGCTTCAAATACCGTTGCATGTGTATTATACAACGTTCCAGAAGGTGCCGTCACTTCAGATGACCGGAATCCTGTGGTTGCAAACCTGTCCAAGGATTCTGCGTACGATATTACTTATAATGTATTTGTGCTATAAACGGTAACATAAACATGCGTGCAATATAAGTTTTACGGTTAGCTTCATACTGTCAAACTTCATTTTAAAGTCGCACAATATCAAAACAAATGTTAGGTATTGTTTTAATATTGTTGTTTCTGAGTTCCGGATTGCCGAATTAGGCATGAAGGTTTTTAGTTTCTTTGTTTTGGCATTTTCTGTTTCAGGTCATCAACAAAATTATTACTTGGACCAGATACCGACGTTAAGAACTATGAATGTGGCAATAATACAACTATCACAAGTGCGCGGAATCTTTCATTGATGAATAACAAGGAAATTCCTTCAAACCAGGTATGTCCCAAAGTATTTCAAGCTATCAGTACAAAACCTTTAAGGTTTTAACCTCATTTAGCATCTAAGGTTGGTTGGAAAATCATTTTTTTGTCTACGGTTTTGCTTCCTGAAATGGTTGTCAATAAGTAATTCGATCTTGCTTATGGGTTACAGTTTCAAAGATTAAGCTATCCGCTGGCACTTATTGTCTGCCATTGGTCTTTAAGATTATTTAATCTATCTTAGATATCAGTTCATGAAGTTAGAACGACAAATCCTACAGTACGTGGGCAAGTTGAAATTTATTGAAGCGAGTTGTAGAAATTTTTTTTTAACAGTTGTAATAAGCAGTGTAAATTCTTCACAGAAACAAAAGCAACAGCAGGTTTGGTCTCGTCGAGGGTGCGGCGTGAGTTCGCTACGTGAGCAACTGCATCACAGCCGAGTACAACAGCAGGCCTTTACGAGTGATAAGTTGTTGGTTTTTTGGGAATTCGTATATTCAGATGGCAGATTTTTTGCTGTAAAAAGTTGTAAAATTTTTTTTCAGTTTTTTATTATTAAATTCATATATTTAAAGTTTATCCAAAACTGGAACCTAATTTCAGATCATCGTCATCATCTTTAGATGCTCTCATTTTTGATAATCGTTTCGATGGAGTTATGTTTGGAAATAAAGTATCATCAGTTAGTAGCGAAAGCCCTAACAGAAAAACGGTATCATCTTCTCTTTCAAAGGAAGATGCTTCTGTTTCACCTAATCTTCTCCCGAACATACCTCCTGCAAGTAGACAGAAAGAAAACGCTAGTTTATAAGTTCCAGTGGTTTATTATTTCTCATAGTGTTGTAATACACAAGGGCATCTTTTTGCAACTGCTTAATTTCTGGATCTGTATAATAATTTTCCGGTTCACTGATAGCGCTTCTGTTCAGTTCTTGTATAGCTAGAACCATATATATTTCAGAGGTCGAAAAGTTCTTGAGTATTCCGATCTTGATGGTTTTCAATTCATTTCATTGAATTTTTGTTCTAGATATTTCACGAGAAGCTGAGAAGTATGGAGCCAGATTTAGTGCGTTCTCTTCCGCATGATATGATTAGTGTCCAACCACAGCTGTCACCAGGAAATATACAGTAGTGGGTTTTGGGTTTGAGAACCAGAAGAAATACTTTTCGGTTGTCATTGATCACCTACATAATTCCTCTTCATTCTTATCCTAAACCACATTTTCTTTTAAAGATATGTTAATGAAGCAGTTATATCAGAAGTGTTTTTAAAAGTTGTAACTGTAAAATTTCGTTTATTAAACAATTTATGCGTGTGATTTAAGAGACTTCCAGTAATTTATGCAAAAAAAAAAGATTCCATTTTGCATTGTGCAGCATTCATTTGCTTTAATATGAAACATATCCACTGCATGTTTATTGAAATACAAATTACTGATTTGTTATAGTCTTTTTCGTTCATATACTTATGTATGTTATCAGAATTTAAATAAAAGATCATCCACTGAGAAATATTTTCGCGATGGGTATTCCCTCAGTGACCAACATTTTTTCAAGTTTAATAACTGAAGTGGATAAGCATTTGGAGCCAGGAAAGCATTGTCGGAATCTAAAATGCTGGCGCGTGATGGTAAACATAAACACTGGTGTATATATGTCTTACAATTATCCGAGAATGAAAAGGGACCATTGACTATGCAAACTCAGTGTTTCAGATTGGAATGAGACGGGCCCTCAATGTTGCTAGCAAAAAAGATGGTCTGGCACCGTACTTTTTATGCATACGTGGGCGAGTAGGTACAAAGACCAATTGTAACAAAGAGTCGGATTCGGAAGGTAAGCTGCTTGAATCTGAACAGATGACGACATCCTCTCGGAGCAATGTCATTCCTGGGAGGACAATCCATCAGCCGTATGTTCCCGAACCTCCTGATCTCGCGACATGTTGCGGATCTGGATGCACAAATTGTGTTTGGATTGAATATGTTGCCGAAGTAATGCGTTACCACATCGACCGCCCTTTGCATGAAGTTTTAGCTGAAATTGACAGATTAATCTCAGACGTTGGTGTTCGGGAATTCGTTAAAGCAGAAATCCGTGAACGTACCAAATGTCGATCATGTAAGTAGGTTGTTATTTCAGAATAACTTCCTATCTTTTCGGGATTGATAAACCACATTAAGCTTGATTCTATAATACTTGTTTCTTCCAAGCAAGAAATTTGCAATTTCTCCGCTCAGTTTCGCTGTTTTGCTGTTTCATGTTTACTATGTGACATAAATTTATTTGAGGCTATGTATATAATATACCGTTGTTTTGAATTATATATTACTTCATGATTATATATTAAGAACTTCATGATTTCACGTTGACTGCTTCATATTATAGAAATATGGTTTTGCACTGTGTATATGCATTCTCTAATAAAGTTGCAAAACACTTCTTGGCTTTTAAATGTTATGTGTGCGAATTGCATCCACTAAATGAAATAACTCTGATGCAGTCAGTGAGTTGAATAGTTTGTATTTGATGTAATCATTTTATCGTTATATATAAACGGCTAGGTTTACGGCCGGCCTACTACCAAATCATTGCATTTTGATTATGTTTCAGTATTGGACAAATTATGTTTTATTTTTATGTCTATCGCTACTAGTGAAACTGTTTAAGCTTTTATGTGTGGTAGAATTTCTTCATAAGTCCTTTACAACTTCAGCTTTAGTTGAACATAACGTTTTTCCTTGACAGGGATAGCTGCAAGAAATCTGATATGGAGAGAGTGGCATCAATTTGGTATCTGTACACAGCGGTATGAATCCATGGAAGGTCGTTGCAAATATTTTTGCCGTTGAATAAGTGGCGCTAAGCACCTTCACCCGTGAATGATGCAGTCGTAGTGTAGTTATAATCGTTATGTGAATTAAAGGAATGACATCGTTCGTCTGGCTAACTCATAATGATTAGAATTGGATTTCTTTTTTCTTTTCATTTTTTTGCTCGAAGTTTGTCGGAACAGAAATTAGGTGTGTTTCCCTCAGAATTCAAAACCATAAAAAGCCTAACAGAGCTTGGGCAGCTTGCAAAATTCGAAACCTTTTTTCCTATATGTGTTCAATGTCTCATTTGAAACTCGCTATGCATTCATGTTGCCGTCTATATTATAATGATGAATCAATTTCGATTTTTTTTTTTTCAGCTAAATTCATTCGGAGAAAGATTTTTGAGAAGTGGGTAACATTTAAAGTGCCATTCATTAAGCTCTTTGGAGAGTACAGTGGAAACGATATTAACTCAGCTACTAGTTAGAATTTACTTTAGGTTTGCCTGCTATCATCCATTTTAGAAAGTGACTTTCAAGCAATTTAGTTTCCGGTAGTTCTTGCTGTCAATTCTGTTGGAAAAAAGTTTTCGAAAATCCGAAGTCTAAGTAATTGAACGTAGTATGCCTTTGTTAACTAATCTAATATTCCTATTATGGTGTTAATGATCAAGTGGTCAAATGTTAAGATATGCCAAATGTTAAGATATGAAATAAAAACTAGTTCATCTTATTTCATATGCCGCCGCAATTGCTATTCGAAGGTTATGGCCCATTTCGAATAAAGGTGCAGCTATGGAATTTAGTGTGAAATGCATTCTTTATTTGCTAATTTACTAAAATGCAAACTTCTGACCTGATTGTAGTCTTGTGCATCCATTTTTCATTTCCTTATAAATATTACTAAAATCAAATCAAAATAATATATTGGGAAATGACTGCAAGTGATGGGTACTCCTTAATATATATTCCCTCAATTCTGAAGAGCTCTCTGTTGTTAAGATATTCGAAGTGGGTAAGCTTTTCAGCAGATTTCACCTTGTTATTAGCAAGTTCTCTCCGATGATGCATTTGGTGTTTGAGATGGGATGGCATTTTGCAAATTTCTGACCATAGATATATTTTTAGGGTGAACAAAGAATGAGTAAAGCTCCTCTTGATGATGGCTGATAACATGAAACTAAAATGAAGTTAAAAATTTAACGTACAATAACCATTCACTCCACCAGGTGACTCCAACAGAACGTGCAAATCTCATAGAGGGCCGCGTTTTGTCGCCCATTGATTAAGCGCAGGGTGAGATTTCTGAGGCCATTCTGCGCATCTGTATTGCAACTTTATGATTAGTGGGTTTCAGGGAAGTTCATCTTGGTTGTTAAACAATATTTTATTGCATATCGACGAATAGGACGCATCTTCTCATGTAACTTAACCACTTTTGACCATTGTCCATCTTTCTTTGCTGAATTTCGGAGGGGCGGTAACGTACTGTTATTTGAATATGCAGCGCATGGATACAATGCACATCTGATTGGATAGCTCACTACATCAGTATGTTTCATTTTCTTTCGAAAGTAGCTGTTATTGTAAGAATTCAAATTACGGCTGAATGACAACTAAAATTAAAATTTCGGAAATTAAATTAAGTGCTTCAAGTTGAGAAATAAGAAAAATGACAGTTCTCTTATTACATGCCAGAAATTCACTGAACTGCATTCCTGAGAAATGGTATACTTTTACTAATGAGGATCAAAAGGTATTGTGATGATGAAAAAACTATCCGCCAAATTCAAAAATTCTTTTTTTGAGCATTCATTTCACTAACAAAAACCTTATGTTTCTTGGCAGTCTTTGAAGGATGTAAGAAAACGCTCATATGGAAGACGTCGATCGTTCGCTGACTTTACTGCACTTGCGTAAGACGTTCAGCGAGTATTGTAGGATGCCATTAAATGGTTCAAATGATGGAGATCGGAAGTTTGACCGTGTGCTTCCACTCTTTGGAAGGGTAATGGAAATTTGAAGTCGAAAAGAATTCGAACTTTTTTGTTTTTTCATTTTAATATCAATTTGAAACGGATAAGCTGTAAAAATGTTGATTAGTATTCGGATTTATAATATGCAATGGTTGCACAGCTATTCTCTAGTCACATGTAATTGTGAATGATGTAGTCATTAATACTTACCAAATTCTGTACCAGTACTATGAAGTATTGAGTTAGAAAATTCAATACTGCATGGAATTGAGTTTTTGGAATTATTTTTTCACATCGTCCTGCAGGTGATGGTAATGTACCCTTCACCAGAAGAAATTGTCGATAAATTCAATGAACTGTGTTCGTTTACGGGTCATCTTTGTCGTCATCTTGTACAGGAAATACGCTTAAGGGCCGCAAATGAATGCACTCAGTTGGCAGCTTCTGCTATTTTAAATTTTCTATTACCAGATGTCGCCGATTGTCGTGGCTGGACGTTATTGAATGCAGTTTGCTACCTTAGTTACACGTTAGTTTTAATTTCGCTGTTGTGAATTTACCTTTTTGTCGTTGAGTTCGAGTTAGTGATTATTGTTATTTGGAGTTCCATTAAATTCTACGATTTTGAAAAATTATTTGATTGTGGAAATTCGTTAAGAATATTTATCTCCTTCAACAGATTTGCTGAAGCTTTCTTAGCGAAGCGATTTCCAGGAAACAGGAGCAGGTTATTGAAGTGATGTGCAAAGCAGCATTACCTTCTACTCTGATTAAAGCACTTTATTTATTTTTCGATTTGCCCCCTCCAGCCAATGGGGATGTCACATCATCCAAACAAAAACTTTTCGTGGTTTTCCAAAAAGTAACTTTTTTTCGTTTTATCTTCATGAAAGCGAAGAAAGACGTGGTAAAGAGAATTCAAGGAATTTGTCCGATGAAAAGTAGATTCAGTTATTCAATATATTGTTACGAATACGTCATATATTTTTACTAGTTTAAGTATGTGAATTCAATCTCCGTGAAAGCGAAGAAAAACGTAGTAGAGGGAATTTAAGGAATTTGTCCAATGAAAAGTAGATTTACAGTAATTCAATATATTATTACGAATACTTCATATATTTCTTAACTAGGTTTTAAAGAAATTATGTGAATTCAACTGTGTTGGTGAAGAGCTTACTCGGAAAGATGATTTGTTCCTTCTCTTTGCCGGCGCTTCTTGCGCATGCCCTGCGGAAAATGTCGAATGGAGAGAAGCTGTATCTCAGTTACTTGTAGTGGTAGTTTCAAAAAGCTTATCCTCATCTGTAACCAAATATATCCATGGTATTGTTTACTAATCTTTGAGAACTGTTGTCGTCGAAATAACACCCCATAATATGAAATTAAGAAATTTCATGGATTCTAAATTGAAAAATAAAAAGTTACGAGATGTACAGTAACACAGTGTAGAGTATTGGTTAGTGGGTCAAAGAGCAAGATAAGAGTTAAGCTGCGTTCTTTTTTCAGGATTATAAATAAGGGTTACATTAGTTGTGATGATGCTTATATTTTCAAGTCTAATTTTCCAAAGAAACGCTTAGTGAAGAGGAATTTTCCGCAAAAATTTAAACTGAGAAGTGAAACATGAATTTACTGTGCTTTTCTTTGAACGATATTCTAAAAAATTTGTTACATTGTCGATAAATAGTTTTCAAGCACATGATATCTCTGTTTACAGCCAAAAATTGTATATCAGTATTTTTATCAAATATATATAAGGAGGATGAAAGCCTGTTGGATCAAGAACGCATCGGAATGTTTATTTGTTTGCTGTCTCTTTTAAAGGACTCTGCGCCCATTGTGAACGTTCTATTGCAAGATTTTGCTCGTGCTAATGGTTATCTTTTATTACGGGATTTTATTTTGAAATATTCAGAGTAAGTTTTAATTTTACGTCGGCATCGTGACCCTATTCAAATTTCGGCCTAATTTTTTCATATCTGCATTTCCTTCTGGATTCACAACAGCTTTGTGAACTGTCGTACTTGATTTTAAACTACTTTTTTTTTGTTTAGGAATAAAGAACTTGAAGAAGGTATTAAAAATATCTTATTATTGGTAATGAGTATAACAACATGTGGTATTGCTGAACTGAAACCGATTTATACACCAGGACCGATTATACTTCCAACTTTTAATCTTCCAACTCCTTCAAATAATGGTCTTACATTGCGCAATATCGATGCGTTCCATCTTCTTTTTCAAATTTTTACACAGGTAGAGTTTTTCAAAATTTAGGAATTCGTCACATTCCTTTGTTGATGTTTATGAATTCCTTTTATTTTCACGAATTTTTTTTTCTAGAAATTAAGACTTATTGCTTCCAGTGTAAAAATGAACGAATATGTGAGGCAGTTATTGATGCTGTTCATAATATTTATGCTTCTGATGCTGTTAATTACTTCATTGCGGATAAAGAATGTCCATTATCTCAAATGATTGAAAGGATGGGACCAAAGTCTCCCCAAGCACAGGTTCTTTCTTTTATATCATACCGGAAATACTGATAAAGTAATAGTTTTCTGTGAACGGTCCCTACGATTATTTGATGTAAAAATGTAAATTAAGATATCCCCATTTCACACTGCATTACTCTGTGATATGTTTACATAATGAAAATTTTATCGTATTCTATGAAGTTTTATTGTATTCTTAGCAACAGGTAGATACTTTAAAATGTAGTCAGGTAAGTGGAGTTTCATGTTAGATTAGTTAAGATGCTAATTGTGATTTTCTTTCGAAGAAAAATTTCCAGTATGTAACATCCCAATCCATTGCTCTTAATGAATTCTGACATATAGTTGATTCGTGAACTAAACTGAAATTATCTCTATTACTGTTTACTCAATTTGTTTTAGCGGAAAGTTATGGAACTTGTTGAGTATGTGGTGTTGCATTTGAATCATATTCCCTGTAAAGAGCTTATTGCGCTGAGTGTTCTGCTGAAAACAGAGATATCGGACAACGGTTTTGAATGTTGTGTACTTTTTTACAGAGTGCTTTCAGGTGCATTTTATTCATTGTTTTACAATGCAGTTAGATATTAATTGTAGGTTTGGTAGTAATAACTTTTCATCTGTTTCTCTGCCGTTATTTCTGCTACATATTCTCTTTGTTTAGAATATTGTCTGCCAATGCGCTACTAAAGGATGCTTTCCGTGAAGTTGGGCTTGTTGAATCACTGATTTGGACAGTGTTGCATTTCATATCAATAGACAAAAGTAATATTTCATCTTTTCTATCAAATTTCTTATGAACTAAGGTTGTGTAAATAAATTCCAAAAGCTAGAATTTTGTCTTTCTGCGACTATTTTTTCAGTTCGACCCCTTTCTGAATGTGAAGGACGAGTTGCTTTGTTGAGCACTGATATACTTTCTCTTCTTGTCAGCAACAATCTTGCTAATGCTTGTAAGTTGTTAACGTAATTACATACTTCTCCAATTTCTTGGTAGAGGCACTGAAAACTTCAAAATTTAGGTGTGTTCCGCGAAAATGTTGGTTCAAAAGCAATCATCGATATTATTTGTAGCAATAGTGATGAATGGAGGGCTTCTGCATTACAAGTAATTTTGCTTCATTACATATGGTGACAGTTTTAACTTTTTGTCTCCTAGAACTATTCCTTACAGTGGCATATTTTTCCGTAAACTTTAATTGCAGCTCATGAAACAGCTTCTAATATCCGGTCAAAGTGAAGAACAGCTCACAGCTTTGCTTCTTGTGCTTCATACTCCGACGTGTAATAACATGCCTTTGAAAGCAATTTTGTTGAAGGTAGTAGACAGCTTTCACTAAATTCCTTTTTTTCTCAGAACTGAAAGGATTCGAAACTAAAAGTAAATTTTTATTCCATGTTGTATTTCAGTCTCTCCTCTGTGCTTTGCGTGAAAGTCATAAAGTGCGTTTAATGTTTCGACGCAGCGGTGGATACTTATGTCTGATGTCTCTTTTGATCAGTCTCGAGGGTAAGCTATGCAATAGTGCTGAAGAAACGATTCCAGAAGTGTTTCTTGCCGAAACCACCAACTTTCTGAGATTTACAGAAATCATTTTCAAAGTACTGGCAATAAGTATGCGGTATGAGCCATCCAACTCCAAATATTTTTCTCATGAGGTGATTTTTCACTTTTAATTTCCTTATATAGTTTTGTTCACATATCACACGTTTTTTAAAATGTTTCTCCAATGTGATTGTCAAATTTTTGGAATAAATTTAGGTGACGTGGGATAATTTGTGCTTAGCTTTACGGGTCAGTGGAGCTTTTATGAAAGATGTCGAGAAAATCGATGCGAAACATGTGATATGGCAAACTGAACCATCAGAAATTCAGAGTAAGGTTGAGGCATGTCACAAAGTGTTTGATTTCAACGAATCTTCCAATAGTAGGTTCGTGTTTTGGGTTTAAATTAGAAAAGGTTAAATTTTTTATCGGCGGAAATTGAAATATGAAAAGCTGCATATTTATAGTTGTATGCCACCTGGTAAAATTCCAACTTCAATATTTATTGCATTGTCGATGGTGCGGCTTCTGGTCAGCTTGGCTCTTGACAGTTACGAAAAGTGAGTTATACCCAAATCTATACGTTTTAAAAGCGGCATAATTAAAGAATTATGAAGTCTCGCTTTTGATCTACTTTACTTCTATTCTTGGATAAAGTCATGACATTTAGGCCTGAGGCAGTTTGGCCATTATGTTCTGGTCCAGCAACTAGCGACCAGTGTGTATCCCTTACATCCTGGACAGCAGGTGTACTTGTCCATCCTGGTGCACTAATTTCTGTTTTACATCTCCTTCCCGCAATACAGTCATCGACATTCCAGGTAATGTTTCCATTTTCTCTTTCTTTGCGTACAACCTCATTTGACAAGTAACTGTTACTCTGAATGGGAATTCTGAATTTCAGCTGCAAACAAATATAATAGCCAGCAAGATGATATCACTTCTTTTTTTCGCCAAATTTTATGACTTATGAAAATTTTACTATGTTAAATTTGGTATATCAAATTTGAATCTGAGAGTCTGACGTCTTTTTCTTTCACTTTAGTGGGCTGCAGCTGCTCAGTATTACTGCGCCCTTCTTATCAAGGCGCTTTTGCGACCGGAGAGAAACCAACAAATTATGTGCCAGTCAAACATGGCACACAGCATTTTGAAAGTTGGCGTTAATGTTTTCAAGAGCGAGAAACACCTCATGCTTGGACCATTTTATTATGTCCTGGAGCGACTTTCTTCACATGCAATAACTCCATCTGATTTAAGGTTAATCTCACTCTTGGAAGGATCATTCATAATTGTCATTTTATTTTTGTCATTGTTTCACTTTATTGCAGATTTTTGCAGCATCTTTAATTTTCACTTTCTTTTGAAATTAAAATGTGGTGTGTGTGTCTGTGTGTGTGTGCGTGTGTGTGTGTGTGTGTGTGATTGAAACATAGATTTTGTGAATTACGAACTTACCTATGACACTTCCCGACTACAGGTCCTTTTTGCGTCTTGATATGCCGCTTTGTTGTCGAAATTTGGATGAGACGGAGGGTGAGGAACCAATGACAGATAATGAGGGTGGTTCTATTCCCATTGCAAGGTAAGTCCTTCCTCAGTATTATTGACGAATGAATACTGCTATATAGAATTGAAAATCGTTGCTTATTTTCTGAACAGTGGGTATTTGAAATAAAGTATGAAAAGCGACTGACAGCTATCAAGGTGACGCTACAGTCATTTTGATATGTTTACGCTTTGTGGTTTTAGGGTGAAGGCGCTGGTTTCAATGATGACACCGCGTGACCATCGAATTGCTCAAAATCCATCATTTGTGGAATTCGATATGGCACCTGAAGGTTTCGCATGTCTTGTAATTCCATCGCTAGCACCGCTTTCAGCAGATTTTGGAATTGGACATGGTGAACGGATATTTCCGCCTTTAAATGGTCTAACAATAATGATGTGAGTGGCTTATTACGTCATCGGATTCTAAAAACTTTGTATAATCTTCAAACTCCTTCGTTATCCTCTCCACAAATTAGTTATTGCACTAGATCTAATATTTTTTCTCCACGTAATTTCACGACAGAAATACCCAAGAAAGCACTGTGCTGGATGTAAACCTCACATTACTCTAGGTGGCTTTGCGTGGAACAGTTCAGTGATAAAAGGATCGACCCACATCCTATACGCTTACTCACAATTTATCGTTCATTTAATTCATCAAAAAAAGAAGATGGTTTAAAACAGAATCCCTCACTTGCTTGCCTTTCGATGCAGGTAGTGCTATTCCTTCAGCTGTCTTTGGTTTTGTGAAGCATTTATTGTTTGATAGACAGTTCGAAATTGTAAAACCAAATTCAATTGGTCGAAATGTTTCCATTTTTTGCTTCTCACAAATTCACTGTAGCTAAGTTCCATCGATCGTTCACTCCTGATTTGCACCGCCGAAAGCGAAACTGCGGGTAACGATCTTGAGAAGGAGCGAAATATTGCGGATGAAAATCTTATTCGCATTGCATTAGGAGACTCAGTGTGCATTGGACAGTGGACCCATATCGCTGTAATACTAGCCAGATCTGTTCTTAAGCATAGCCAGGTAGTTAATTTTGTTATTCAAGAGTTACTTCCTTAAAATTCTTGCATTCATCCCTGTGCTGCTTTTTAGTTTCATATGAGCATCTTTTATAAACTTTTCACTCTGTAGGCAGCTGTTTATATTAATGGTCGGCTGGAAGGTACTTACAAGCTACATTATATCATCCAGAATATTGGTGGTGGTGCGGCTCATTTATCTTACTCCAGTGGCATTCATGCTGTTATCGGCACACCACCAGCTTATCGATCACCAAGCAGGTAAGCATATTTTCATTTAAATTACTCGTCCGCCGTTACTATTTTTAATCTGAAATTCTCGAGAAGCAAGAGCTTTAAGATTCATCAAAATTTTTAAATCCAAGTACTTTTTTTTTTTGCAGACTGTGTTTCAAAATTTCCACTTTTGTCTTAGTTGAAGAACCAATGGGTGCAGAAGCAATAACTCGAATATATGATTTGGAACCTCATTACATTGGGAACTTTCAAGTACGTTTGAAATTTGAAAGTTTGAAATTAAATTTATTACATTGTAGATTTTTTAGATTTTTTTGACTTTTTAGATTTTTATGGAACTGTGTAACTTATTGAATATTGCAGACGATATCGGGAGATACCCCTCTTGTTGCGGAGGAGCGTATTTGTTTGTCTTTATCGGCGGTGGCCAATAAGGAACTGAGCGCTTCACGAATAGGTTCAATATATAGCAAAGCAGATAGCGCGTTCATTGCACGTTACGTATGTTTTACACTATGCTGCTCAAAATCTAAAGTAATATTAATGTGTTGAACCAATATATGTTCTTAAATGGAGTCATCTGCCACGTATTCCTTCTAGGTTGGTGTTTCAATTCATGACAAAAGCACTCCATTACGGGTTCTTCTCAATACAGTTACGCATGCATCAGGACCAGCACGACCTTTTGGAGCAGTACTTCTTGGATATCTTGGTATGCCATTCTTCCCTTTTTTGAAGATTATTTAGTCTTATGGATATATTTTGGAAGAGATTGGTTCGATATTATTGCTGACTGTTTTTACATACGTCCTGTTTTCCAGGAATACGGTTGTTTACACCATGCCCAGTAACTCGACTGTTGGACTGCGTGGGAGGTATATCTTGTCTGTTTGGTCTCGTAGCAATGGCGACAACATCCCAAGAGTTGTATGCATCATTAAAAGCCTTGGCGACTGCTATAAAGACGGATAAAATTACATCGAGACATCTGATTAGTACGAGATCCTATCAGGTGTACCTTTTTGCCCATTATTATTCTTTTAATTAAATATAAGGAGCGCAGAATCAGTAATTTGAAATTGCTTGAACTTTTAGATCCTTGCGATGCTTCTGGAAGGAAAAACCGAGCTTCTGAATTCCCATATTCTTCACTTAATTTTGTCATTGGCTGGCACGTTGGATACCAGCAAAGACACATCCATTATACCGAATCTTTCGGTTTTTGAGGATATGTTATGTGATTTGGATGTTTGGAAAGACGCTAGCCCTGACCTCAACAGACTACTTTATGAACATTTCTATGAATTAATCACGGAGTGAGTTAAAATTTAGTTTACCAGGACGTTATTTTTTTGTGGAGCATTCGGTTTTCTTTTTGTCTGCTATACATGGTTTAAAAAGTAACGAAGAGTACTTTTAGTCAGAACAGTGAGAACATGAATATGGTGCGCCGTAGCTCGCTACCATCCCGTCTTCTCATTCGACTGTTTGATCATCCGAATCTTATTTTTGCTGTTAATGATATTGTTTTCAATCTTCTTGCTGCACTTTTGCAATCTCCTGCCGATAATTTATTGCTACTGAAGTAATTCTTAAATTTTCAGTAACATGCTTTTGCATTCACATGAAAAAGTGTTGAGACCGCTAAAGACCATCCACTTACTGACAACCGTGTCTTTTGGTAAAAACGGCACTATTTTAAGTTGTTGGTACTTTTTACCTAACCTCCAATCTGTTCACAGGGGGAACTTTTGCATTCCATAACTCAGTTTCGACGTTTTATAGAGTTGGTCAGCTGGTGGCTGGAACTCTTCCAGTGCCAGGTTCAGACCAGGATGAAACTTCATATGCATTCTCGATAACCGATCTGCAAGCAGCTCTGTTTGCCAGTAAACATTCACCACATTTTGATCGTCTGCTTTATGATATTTATGTGCGCAGTCGTATTCTCAACATAATAGCAAACACTTTAGCGCATTCGAGTGTAAACAACAATTTGTTGTGAGTCATGCTTCATTAATATCATTTCCAACAGCTTTTAGACATCATATTTCAGCTGTCGATAGTTTGACGTATGGTTAGTTTATTTATTGACTAATCATCTTGAAGTCATTGTTTCTCACAATTCGTCAACATATAAAATAAATTTATCTGGATTGTTGGTCTTTCCGTATGTGATTTGTTACGGATTTTTTTTCTTTTCACGCCTCGCTCTTCAGATTATGTGACCTAGTCGTTAAAACACTTGGTTTCGATTGGGTGCTGGCTCTATTCACGCCAGGTGCTCATTGTACAACCATTGTACTTGGTCTACGTATTCTTCTTGCTCTTTTGAAACACGATCATCTAATGCAGAAATTTAAGGAAGGCTCAGCAAATGGTGGTTGGTTAACAGATGCAGACTCATTTGTTCGCAACAGAGCTGCAGTAATTTTTTGTCATACTCGTCGAAATTGATTCTGTGAAGCATATCTCTCGAGATTTATATGCAGTTTTCGAATATTCATGTCATAGAGTTTTGAAATTATTTTCAGTAGATGGACTTTTAATACTTCAGGTTTTACTTGGTTTCTCGGTATCAGCTTACGGAGGCAACGTGGGAGCTCATGTTGACATCAATCCAGAACTTTCTGAATGTAGTGGTTTTATAATGCTCGAACACTTGCTTTATTATCACTATGAAAAACCGCAATGCTATTTGGCGATGTTGGCATTATTAGTTGGCCAGCCAGTGTCAAACATAACACTTGTGGATAATTTTTCTCTTGATCTCATTTGGTCCCATGTTTTTGGTCTTTCTTTGTCAAGGTTATTCATTTCAGGATTTTTCGTCTTTTCATATTCATGAATAAGTTGAAAGTTTTCAATTTTGGCTTAGAGTATTTTAAAAAGTTTTTTCAAGTTCTGTGTCAGAGGCCGTTTCTGGTATTGAAATTTGTTGTGAGGCAGTTATACCGCTGTTATCCATGGTTCGAGCTACAGTTCATGCCAACATACGTTCCAGTGTTTGTTTTGCTTAATTTAATTACCTTTTTCATGAGCAGAGCTTCTAGAACAGCTTTCTAAGAAGGAGGAGTAGGCGCTTGTTAGTTTAACGTTATCACTGTTATAAGAAATGTATTTAGGTTGAGTCACCACACGATGATAATAAATTGGTGTATTCTTCTACGGTGATTCAAATGTTCACTTTCTTGTACCAAAACTGTTCTAACTTCTGTAATCTTTGCCACACAGAAGAGTTCATAACTTACCTATTTTGTGTTCTTATACCTCTGGATGTCATGGAATCAAATACAGTCAGAGATGAAAATTCGCTTTCGCCACCATTCTACGATATGCATGCTAGTATGTGCTTTCATTTTTAATATTTCTTTATAAACAAAATGCATTTTACGAAGCCTATTTTCTATTGTTCCATATGTGGTCTTTAGTCCTTGATGAAAGTTGCTGTCGAAATGTTTTGGATCTAATAAAGCGGATTTTATATGAAGATGTATGTCGAAGTCATGGTGCCAAGCCGGAATCCTTATTAGATGCATTAATCGAGGTATCCAAAAACCTTTTACTCGATAGAGATTCGAATAATTCTGTTTTATTGGATCCTTCAACAAGTGAAAAGTAAAAGTTATTTATTAATTCATTTATTTTTCCCGCGAGTTTCTATTGCCACTTTTTTACAGAGCATTCCTGAATACGGTTGTTCCCGTCGATTTTGTACTTTTGTGCTTTCGGAAAACTTATCTTTGTGCATGGAGTACATGATTGCTACTGGTGAGCTTTTGAACGAATTGTTTGTACAAAATTGGCTATTCATTTAATTCGTTTGTCTGTTTTCAGACGTTTTGCTGGAGTCTGAGAATACAAGTACTGCAGCAACTTGCGGGACTTCAGCTGCAACTTCTGCTGTTTTATTTGCAAATTTCGCGTATTTTGCTTCTAGGATTGTTGACTGTGTTTGGAGTGGTAGGTGTTAAGAAATTTCTGTCACATTCTATTTCCAGATTGTCTCTTTTGAATCGCAAATTTGTTTAAAATTCAGTTAGGACTCTTGAAATATTCAAGTCGACAAGTTTATAGGGATTTATGTTGGGGAAGCAAGTCGTGTGCTTAGTTTCTTGTTGAAAGGGCTTGCTCTCATTCGGCGTAACGATCCGAAATCAGTTTCTTATGATTCACTTATGCAGTCGCTCGATCGGACCATTTTATATCTCTTAAGTAGACCCATTGACAATGTTACCGGTACGTTATAGCAGTTGTCGCTTATGCAGGACTAAGATTCTATCAGTAATGAAATCATCAATAATTATTTTATGAAAAAATATTTAACCCTGCACATATTCTAGTTTTCGCCTTCTTGTTTCCACATTTTTGATGATGATTTCTTCGAAATGTTATTTATTACTATAAGCCAGAAATTAAAAAATTTTTATTTCTATTTCCCTAAAATATATGCTGCAGCGATATTCAGTATTTTTTTCGTTACTATTGCTAATAAGTTGCAGTACAAATGTCGATTTTAAATACGCTGTCAGAGATCATCCTACATCGTAACGTTATATTGTCTCCAACACACAATGATCCCTTGTTTTTCGGCTCTCTTACTCATCTTTTATTTATGCTTTCCGTCACACCGGACATTCTTCCAAAAAGGGAGGCGTCATCGAATCTTGATCGTGGAAGTGCTCAGGTGAGCTTTTATCAAGGCGTTTTCACGCGTTGAAAAAATTGATATTTTCTTTTACAAATGTTTGTGTATTTTCGTTTGCATTTAGAGGTTTGTATTTTAGGTTGCCTTGTGTGCTTCACAGGTGTGGAAAGAGGTTTGTACAATGAAGCGAAATCTTCTAGAAGAAGTTTTTCGGAGTGGTTTTGTTGCAGAGTTAAATGCAGCACGTGCTTTATTATCGCATGCTGCCAGTCTGCAATGGTTATCGTTTGTTGATTCGCAGATGAATTCTTCTGCGCCAAAAAGTACTATGCAATTTCAACAACAGATACAGTCGGTGGGTGGTTGTTAACACTGTTGAAAATATCTAGGTTTGAATTTGTTTATGCATAATGTTGAACTTGAGTTGTAGTTAACTACTCAGTAGACTAATTCTTAAGAGAATCACGAAAGTTGCTACTGGTTTACAACGTTTGGCAACTCGCAAAGCATTAAACAGTTCGAGTTCAGTCTGCAGCTTCATGTTCTTGCGACAGCCAAATATCACTACGGAGGTCAGTTTGAGAAATATGCATTAATTCTTATAATTATGATTGGGTTGAAAAAGTATGGAAAGATTTTTATATAAAGTGATTTGAGTGACAAATGCATACACATTTTATGGACGATTTTGCAGGTAGTTCAAATGTGGCTGCGTGTGCACATATCGTTAATCAGAGAACTTGTTCGTACACAATGCCTCTGTTATCATGAATGGCATTCACACGTGCAAAAATGGTGCATGCAAGATTGGCGTTCCCTTGAAATGGAATTGATAAGGTATTTACAGGGGTTCTACCAGATTCCTAAAATATTCAGGAATGATTATTTCTGCTCAAATGAGAACATCGAAAAATCAATTTCTTTCAGGGAACGTGGAATTTGGGGAGCAGAGCTGGGTTCTTCTCTAGACAAGTATATGTTAGATATGACTGAAGGGCCTTGTCGTATACGGCGGATGTTGATTCCAAATCCAACTTTCTATCATCATTATCCCTATCGTCCTTATCTTGATTCTCCTGAATCGGTGATTTTTAATACTTCTTTTCCTTGCTCGTGTTTTATAAATGGTAAAGGTACTTCTATTTTAATTTGAAATCTTAAACTTCTAAATCAGGGATAAAAACGCCACGTTATGTTTGTCAAGATTAGGGTCTGTGGTGATGTTATCAATGCACGTTTGACTACGAATTTTTTTTTCTTTTGCAGAAAGCGATACGTGCTAAAGTGGCAGTATCAAAAGACAGCAAACTGTATTATGCAGCTATAAAGCGACGCCGTCGGAAAATACCGGAACAAAGGATCATCGATGTATCGGCAACGGTATATACCCCATCTGAAGAATGTTCAGATCTGTTTTTTACTGATATGCAAGGTTTCCAGATTTTCTTACATCAATGAAAAGTCGTGACTACTTTTCTTTTGAGTTGAAGTTTCTTTTTAGTGGTACCTCCTTCGTTTAACTACTTTCCACTCACTTTTCACAGTACAATATTTTCTAAATCTTCCGATGTATCAGTTCATAGTGAAATGCTAAATAATGCACAGTCCTGTCATTTACATCACCGACATTTGTTTTCATCAAATCAGATTTAATTATTGATTCCTCTGACATGTAAAATAGGATTTCGAAGAGTTTTTTTCGCCTATTAGAGATCAGTACGTCAGTAATTCGTCGCGTATCGATCAAGCATGCTCTGAGCAAAGACAGCGATGAAACAGAATGTGTTGTAAATGAGAAAGATGTGAACGAAGCAGACGAGGAAAGTGAGGAAAATGGTGTAGACGAAGAACATAGTATTGAGCGACAACAAACAAGAAATGGACAAAAAAATGATATTCAAGAAAATGAAGGGACGACTATTAAAGCAAAAGATGGAAGCATAGAACGAAAAAGAGGACCTGATAATCAGACTTTACTCAGACTTCTGGAACAGGTATTCTAAATCCTTTGCTACCTTACGATTATTTTCGTGGATGTCATTCTCTTGTTTTTGTACGAAGTTTTTTTGCATTAAATCTTCTGAACATGGAATAATGCTCTATTTTGTCGTCTGCTGTGAGTAGTCAATCGTCAGTTTTACCATTTTGTAGGGTGAACAACTGCATTCTATGTTCCGCTGTGCACGTGTGCAGGGTTTGGATACAAGCGAAGGACTGTTACTTTTTGGGAGACAACATTACTATGTTGTTGATGGATTCACACTTCTGAAAACGAGAGAAATCAGGGATTTGGATTTCCTCCCACAAGAGTAATTTAGATTTCATTTGAAAATTTCGGTTTTGTTCTAGAAGAATAAATTTCTAGGCAACGTCTTTGCTTTACTTTTATCGCATACCTTCTTAAGATTTACTTTTTCACTTCATATTAGTAGGTTCATTAATTTAGATTGCATGATCCAATTGTACCATACATGGCCTGTGGTGCTAGCCATCCTGTACGACGCACTAGATTGTGCAGTAAATTTTCATACAATGATATTCGTGAGGTACATCGACGTCGCTATCTTCTGCAACCAATTGCTATCGAAGTATTCTCAGCAGATGGCCGTAATTACCTGTTGGCTTTCCCTAGACGTATGCGTAATCGAGTTTATCAAAAGTTCGTCATTTGAATTTGTTATATCCGTTCACAAAGGTTTTGTAAATAAAAAAAGCTGTACTTATGTATTTAAACGATTTAGACCAACTCCACTTTATTTTATATGTGAAAACTGAAGGTATGTAATAATTGATTTAGAGTTTGAGAGATTAGCAATCCTAGTAAACAGTGACTTATCTGTGAAAAATATGAATTGGTAAAAAAAAATATTTTGTTGCTAAAATGTCACAATTTCTCGAAAACTCAGTTGCCTTAGATTTCTATTTTCTACATCTTAGATTTCCATTTTCTACTCCTATTTGTCTTTATACTCAGATTTTTATCGTTAGCAAGGTTGCTGAAAGACAGTGGATCCGAATCTATAGGAGGACAAAGGTCGACTGCTCCAGTGGAGCAAACAAGTCGTGTTTCATTACTTACCTCATTAATAGGTATCATTTTAATGTATTCGATTCGTTTGGGCGGACTGTGTTAAGAAAATGATAAAAATAATATCAGCATGCTGATAAACTTGCTCTTGACACTTCAAGTTGGAACTGATTCTAAAGACAAACGGCAATATGAAAATGTTTTTCGTTTCAGGACAACAGTCTGTTACGCACCGTTGGGTACGAGGGGAAATCAGCAATTTTCAATATCTGATGCATCTGAATACTTTGGCTGGTCGGTCTTATAATGATCTTTCTCAGTATCCGATATTCCCGTGGATATTACGAGATTACGAATCGGAGGTTTTTTTTTCTGCTAGGTTATTGTAAATAAAGAATTCGATGAGATGATGTTAGACTTTTTTTATTCGCAATTTTTTGGTGCTTTTATAGGATCTAAACTTGACAGATCCACGTTTCTTTCGTGATTTGAGTAAACCAATGGGGGCACAGAATCCAAAACGTTTGGAACAGTTTCTAAAAAGATATCGGGAATGGGATGATCCAACTGGTGAAACGCCTGCATACATGTATGGCACACACTATAGCAGTGCTATGATTGTTGTTTCATATCTCGTACGTTTGGAACCTTTTACGCAACAGTTTCTGAAGCTTCAGGTATTCTCTTTTTCTCTCATGTTCGTATGAACAGCTTTTTTGCATAAGTTTTGGTTATAAATTTCGATCAGGTAAGATTAAAAGCTTTTACACTATTATCAGCATGATGTTTCAACGTTAATCGAAAAAAATGAAACTTTAGGGTGGTCATTTCGATTTGGCTGATCGAATGTTTCACAGTGTTGGTGATGCTTGGCTTAGTGCGAGTCGTAATAATATGGCAGACGTAAAAGAGTTGATCCCTGAATTTTTTTCTCTTCCTGAAATGTTTCTTAACTCAAATCACTTTGACTTTGGTGTCAAACAGAATGGTGTAGCGCTGGATGATGTGATACTTCCAGCGTGGGTGAAAGGTGATGCCAGAGAATTTGTACGTATGCATCGACAGGTGATTTCTTGTTTTAGTGACGAAACTATTTTAGTATCTTACGCATTTTTAGTATGAGTACAAGGATTTCCAGAAATTTTTTACCTATGTCCGTCTATAATTCTTCAGGCACTGGAATGTGATTATGTATCAGCAAATTTGCATAACTGGATAGATTTAATCTTCGGATATAAGCAGCGCGGAGATGCTGCTATTGAAGCGAATAATGTTTACCATCATCTTTTTTATGAAGGGAATGTTGATTTTGATAGTATCGAGGATCCGCTAACAAGGTATGCATAAATCAATAAGTTGTTTGGGTTCAGATTCCTACGTTCCAGTCTCGGCCTTAAGCTGATTACTGGGGCTGTATGTAAAAATGTAGTTGTCTCTATGTTTCTGTGTTTGTAGCAAATGAAAGACAAATTATTTGTCACTAACATTCATGATAATATTAAATAGTTTTGTGTTTATTCTAATTTTAGAAACGCAACTATTGGGTTTATTAATAATTTTGGGCAGATTCCTTCGCAACTGTTCAAGAAACCGCACCCACAGAAAAAAGTTGCATACACAGATATTTATTCATCAACCCCTGGCGTTACAACACAGCGACTTTTTTATCACTCTTTTGATTCACTGAAAGTACCAGCACAGCCAATAAAAGGTTTTTTTTTCGGAAGTTAAAATTCTGAAGTAGAGACATGAAGTCCCGGTCTTGCTGATTTGTTAAACTTTTCAGAGTTAAAATCAACTGTTGGAAGCTTAATTCCACTCGACAAAGGTGGAGTGCTTGCGCTGGAAACAAATCGTGCACTACTTTTGCCAAATCGTTACATATCTTGGGGTTTTCCAGATAGAAGTATAAGGATTGGTGCTATTGATAGTGATCGGGTGATTTTTGTGTCAGATGTTTAAAATGAAAACTTGTCTATAAAACCTAAGGTATTATTGTTTCGGTGGTGTTAGAGAAAATGAAGCAAAGTTTTAATGATAATAATAGTACAAGATTTTTTTCAGTCAACTTGCATCTATGAGCTGTGCGAAAGCGCTGAAATTACTTGTTGTGCATGTGGTGATTCACGGACAGTTTTCACCGGTTCCAGTACGGGTAAAGTTTGCGTTTGGGATCTGACCGAACGACATCCTCGCATTCGCTTTCGTCGCACATTAACAGCACATACAGAAGCAATCACTGCTTTGGCTGTTTGCTCAGCACAAACCTTGCTTGTGAGTGGTAGCCGTGATGGCACTGCTGTTGTGTGGCATTTGAGTGCGTTAATATTCATTCGACAGTTACGACCGCATCCATCCGCAGTGACAGCTGTTGCTATCAATGACGCAACGGTTAGTTTCCAAAATTAAATCTATCTGAAATCTACGAAATGGATCATGTGAACTGATCAGGATTTATCCGCGATTTGAATTACAGGGGGACATAGTGACAGCATCGGGATCGACGATGTTCCTATGGTCGATCAATGGACGGCTGCTATCTGTAATCGATAGTGTTGACAAATCTTCGTTCGATCAATTTCCTAATATCATTTTATCATTGGCATTTTCTACGGTGATTGTTATTTATTTAATTCTCATTTTCAAAAACAGCTATAATGCATCTACCTTTGATATATTTTTTTAATGTTAGTAATTGGATTTAAACTTTCAGCTATATGAATGGGATCCGGAAAATGTGATTATGTGTGGTGGTAGTGATGGCGTTGTACGAATATACTGTATGGAGTTTGTGAGAAGTGAAGATGATCCAAGAGAAAGCCGATCACCAACGTACCTTTAGTGCTTTTTTAAGGATTTAGCTTATCAATTCAAGTTTTGTTCCCAGCGAGATGACAGTTTTCTGTTTGCCAGGTTTTTATCGAGTCTTCATTACAAACATTTAAGAATATTGCAAACAAATATAAACAGTGCTACTACTCTACAACAGCGTCTTGAACGACAACAACAAAGCTTACAGTTGTTATCAGCAGCAAGTTCGTCGGACACTCCTCCTGCTGGAAGTCAAACTGGTTCACCGGAGCCACCTACCGGTCCTTCTATTAATTTATACGAGATCGATGAAAGATTGGATTGTAATCGGGTTAGTTGATTTCACATCTTTCAAACGTAGGTGATATTAATTATTTTCCTTTCTTAAAGCATTTAACTCTTTTATTAAGAACCTGAATAACATCTTGTTTCAGAAATGGCAGGATGCTGAAGCCGCTCACTCGGGAAAATTGGTTTGGAAGAAATTATTGGTACCGAGGTTTTCATTGACAACCCATACAGCTTTTAATCGTAAGGATAATCCACATCCTGCTTCGATTACAGCTATCACACCGTCGAGGTTTGCAAAAATCAGTTTGTGCTTTTTTTTAAATTTAAAATCTTCATTTTCATCAAAAATTTCAGAGATCATCGAACTCTGTTTGTTGGAGATAGTGTTGGTCGCGTTTGGAGCTGGCAGATTGGTGATGAAGTTGGTGCACGTGCAGATCACTGGATACAGGATCCGAGTAGAAGTTCATGCACACAATGCACGCAAAAATTTTCGCTTGCCGAAAGGCGACATCACTGTCGAAACTGTGGGCATATTTTTTGCAACCGGTTTGTCATTTCTTGTCATGTCTTTTTTGTTGCTGGGAACTTCGAAAAAATGCATTTTTGGGCAAGGATGTCATATCTGTATCTAATTTCTAGTAAGAATATGAAAAAAAAAATTCCTAGATTATTGGCGCACTTTTGTGCATCTCAGATGTCTGTTTAGTGTTCCATGAACTGTGCAGAATTTGAGCTCCTCTTTAAAATTTAATTTATTTCAGATGTAGTCGATTTGAAACCGATATAAAACACATGAAAATTTCGAAGCCAGTGCGTGTTTGTCAAAGTTGTTTTTTACGTTTGAAGACAGAAGGGGTATCCTAAGAAGGGGGAGACTGGAATTGAAATACTTTCTTTTTGCCTCCTGCTGCATGTTGTATTTATCATTACTAGCTTATTTAAACTATTTGTTAATGAATAGTAGTTTTCTAAGAATTTTTCCTTTGATCTCAATTTTATAATCCGTTGTGATGTAACTTTGTACTTGTGGTTTAGTTCTTTATTTCCATTTCTTACCAATAGTCCTTTGCATAATAAAATGGCTGCAAAACTGTTGGAAACATGAAATATCTGGCTTATTTTAGACGATGTCCAGAGTAGTATATGGAATGCTTAAGCTAAAAGGAATATACGAATGCTGGTGTGAAGAAAGAGTAGAGATATTTGTCTCAAAATTGAATGCTAAAACTACACTATTTTGAATTTTGCATTGTGCTAGTTTATTGTATAAAGTCAGTATTGTTCTTAGGACAAAGGTAAGCTAAGTCTTTTCTGACCCATTTAGTTTCTGGAATATCACGATCAAAATGTCCATACGTTGCACCTATTGTGCCAACAGGTTGGGAAGTTTCCTAGTGTTCAAGTGAATTTGTTTCGTAGTATATTTCGACTAAGTACTATACCTGGATCTGTCATATCATGTTTTCAGTGCATCTGTTTCTGGTTTTGGTTGTCAGCTCTTCCCTTTCGTCTTTTAATAAACTTCGGGTTCAATAATAAATGTAAGGGACAGGATGAGAAGTTGGAAGCTGAGGGGTGGATAAGTTTTTCGAAAATATTTGAGGTTGTCGTTCTTTGTTTTCATTGCCGCGTTATTCCTTGTTTTGGTAGCGTGCTACCCAATATTGGGTCTAGAGTGGTGGCGTCGAAGCACGCAGATTTTAGCCGAGAATGCAGCGACTTCTCAAGTTGAGTTTTGCATAATTCGTATGAGTCGTACTTCTCATAACAATGAATTACAATATACCCAAATGTTACGTAAAATTTGGCACGTCAAACCCTACCGAAGGATAATTAGCTAAAAGGTCAAACTGAACAATAAGTAGGACAGGATGGGAAGTTGATTTTGGGTTGTCAGGTTGTGGATGATTTATGCGTATCTACAGAGGTTTTTTATGAAGTGGATGACTAAAACTTCGTAATGAATACCGGATGAGGTAGAGGGTGAAGAAATGACGGTCACAAAAATAGGGTGGGATAGGGGTTTTCATAGAATTCTAGGAATGTGTTGCAAGGCTACCTTTGTTGTTGGGTGGGGTGTTATGCCTTGGTGATATTGGTGGCGTCTAGATGGTGGTTAGTAACTGGTAAGGGTGCCCCCACACTGGAAATGCATTCTGCTGCTCATTTTAGCATAAATACCCTAGTAATAAGGTAGTGTGTGTAAATTAGCGCTCGATTTAGCGAGAACGGTCCATTAGCAGCATGGCATGTGACTATTGTACAGTGAGGAGAAATCAACGGTTATCGTCCGTTCCGTTCTTCACATTCCGTCACTCTTCTATCCCTTTTAAAATTTAGTTATTTCGTTTCAAGCTGCTGAAGAAGGGTAGAAGCACGCAGTTGAAATGGCATTGAAACGAATTCAAAAAGTAAGTGTTTTCGGTATGCACGGCATTTAAAATAGAAAAAAAAAAGCCCGTAATTTTGCTGAGTAAATGAGGAAAAAATTCGCTGTTGATTGGTTTACTTGCTTTTGTTCCACCCATTTTTTAATATTACAATAGAAGCTTGTCCTGCTTGAGGGTTATTTCTTATAATTTACTTATTCGAGGAACTGCAAGATCTGGGCAGAGATCCACCGGCGCAGTGCAGTGCAGGACCAGTTGGTGATGACCTGTTTCACTGGCAGGCTACTATAATGGGTCCACCAGAATCGCCATATCAAGGTGGTGTATTTTTCCTGACAATCCACTTCCCAACGGATTATCCGTTCAAACCACCAAAGGTATGAGCAGTGAAACATTACTAACTTAGCAGAATGCTTTAATTTTTGTTTGTTTTGCAACTACTTGGCATAATATAAATATGAAGAAGTCTAGAATTAGTTTATCAGTATAGTGGATTTTCTTTAAAAAAAGAAAACGGAAAATAGGGTGACCCTTATTGTAAGGCATGCATCTTCATATCATTTTTACTTTTTCTTTGCTATTTTCCATCGACTTCTCTCCTCATTGCAGGTAGCGTTTACAACTCGTATTTATCATCCCAATATCAACAGTAATGGTAGTATCTGTTTAGATATTTTGCGTTCTCAGTGGTCACCTGCTCTCACAATTTCAAAAGGTATTTTCTTAGAACATGTTGATTCGCTTAAATAAACAAAGTGCGTCTACCTTACTTACTGGTCCCTCAGATCTGTGTAAAGTAGCTGATAAAACAGTCGACTGTTATAATGGAATAGTGAAAGTACCTCCATCCGTCCCAGAATCTATGTTTCAAACTTAATTGGCTAGTCGGGAATGCGGAATTCATCTGGCCTGTCTGGAACTTTTAGATAATATTGACCTATTGCAACCCTCAATGCTATGCTGTCTGACCTAGTCAATTAAGGTATCATTTCCACATCATGGCATGATTATATGGTTGTTGCATGAGGCTCCGACATGTGAATAAAATCTTATTTTGTGCAGTTGCAGTATTGTTGTCAATCTGTTCACTCTTGTGTGATCCGAATCCTGATGATCCATTGGTGCCTGAGATTGCACGCATTTACAAAACAGATCGAGAACGGTACAATCAGCTAGCTCGTGAATGGACCCAAAAATACGCAATGTGATAAATTAGGGCATATATGTGGGGTTGCAAGTTGATGCGTTACGTTGCCTTATTGAGCAAAGTAAAGCATCCACATGCCGTCCAAGTAAGAGACATCGTAAATGCTACAATAATTGAATAATTTTACAATTTTTAGATTTCATGTTTGTCAGAAATCTTGGTCGTCTTTGAATTTTTCCATAACTAAATAGATTGGTTTGATGAAAAAGCCATTTTGTTTTATTACTTCTTGAATTTTCAAAACAATGCGTCAGCTCATTTCTGCCGTTTTTCCTATTCTTGCAGCACTATTCAATCGTTCTAGAGATAGCTGCGAATGTTGTGCATAACAAAAAAAAATTCTTTGTCAATGATCTATATTGTGTGTATGAATTTTCTTTCTCCCTTTGAACTGTTATGCAGTTTTAAACTTCATTTTGAATACATCTAGTTCAAGTGTTCTTTTTGGAGTTTGTCGTTCGTTCATCCTATGAATTTTCACGATACAACGCTCCTTTGTTTTTTTTTTTTTTGTTTTAGCAATCTGTGCTGCGTATAAGTGATACACACAAATTTAAATACCATTTATTCATTTGCATATAAAATTTTAAAGGGACATTTTACCTTTGTTTTTTTCATTATTCGACATATTTCGTTTCAAGAGCATAGCATGGTATTTTTGCCGCTGAAATCTGCCTTTTTTCCAGTGAGATGAGATTTAAACAATCTTCATAAGTTTTTTGAGTTTAGCATTCAAGCTTCAGCTGAGTTCGACAGTTCAAGAAATGAAAGGAAGTGGTAAGTTGTGATTGACATGCGAATGACTTCCAGTAAAATCAAGTTCTTCACACTGAGATGCCCTTGAACTTTATGGTTAGTGAAAAGGGCTACTGAATTGGTTTCGAAGATTGAATGTCAGACCTTTTGCTCATCCTACTTTTCCAGTGTGAAAATCTTGCAGGACTGATGTTCTTAACTGAGGATCTCTGAGAGCTGGGGTACGTAGCTAGGAAGACGATTACGTTAACTTATGGGCTTTTTGGAAGTTTCTTGCTATTCACTTGTGTTTTTGCAGGCTTCTTTCGCGAAAGATATTCTCTTTGGCTTAATTGTAGACACAGCTGAATATAATAATGAAGGTTTAACGAAGAATTGTTTCTTCTTGGACGTTTGGGGAATATTACAGGTAGAATCTTTCGGGAGATTATTCTTGACTTTGCTTATTGGGGAATTTGTTATATTGGATTGAAGTCGTGATGGAGAACCGGTAGCATATTTTATTGAAAGATTAAATGATAATTTCTGAGGACAAATTTTTAAGAGAGAATGACTCCTTGATAATTGGTGCTTAGTGGCAGTTGTTTACAATATTGAGACATGTGATAAAGTAAGTAAATGGTAAGGTGTTTAAAACAGTTTGCAAGATCTTTGATGCTCATATGTTTACATTAATTAAGAAAATTCATGAAAACACAAGTAATTTATAGTAATCTGGAAATTCTTTGAAGCACAAGATATTATAATAATTTGGAAGATAACGATAGGGTTTCAAAATACTGCAATAAAGTTAGTTGTCAGATTAAATGAGTTAAACAAATATTTTACTAATCGAGGTATAAAAAACATTCATCGTATTTTGTCTTATGTATAATAAATCAATTATCTGAAGAATTTTAATGCAAAATCTTTATTATGGACAAAAATATTTTAATACTGGATGTATTTCAATATTGTAATGATATTTCATATTTTCATAACATTTTCATCAGCTTCAGAAGTGTAGCTTTCTTATATTCGTATTCCGTAACGTCGCTCGCATTAAGAGACACATCGTCGATGTTCGCATTATGGCAGAAAAAACTGAAAACGCTTCAGAAGCCGACGAACAAGCAGTCGAAAGTCAATCATGTGTTTATTATGTAAATTCTCCGGAATTCTTTAACAAAAAGATGGTTTGGAAGTTACTTGATGACTGTACTACTGAGATTGCGAAGAAGACTTTGTCGGGTATTTTGTCGTAGAAAGCGTAGATATGCGTTTTGGATAAAGCCCAAATGGGATATTATAGACGACGAGGTGTAAAAGTATT